TTTATTGAAAGAGCTTGGCAGCCAGAAAATATACAGTTACATATTTGGGGAATGGGTTACGAATTACAAATAATATACAAGTAACAAATGATGTGTGTGTGTGTGTTGGTGACGTTGAGTTACAATACTTGAAAGTATGTCTGAGGTACTCTCTCTCTCTCTCTCTCTCTCTCTCTCTGTGACTGTTCTAGTGGCGTCTCTCCCACCTGTGACTTTCAACAGCACTCTCTCTACCTTTGACTCGTGTATACATAGAGGATTACACACGCTGCTAACTCTCGGATGAGATGAAGACAGCCGTGGCTTAGGGAGAGAGAAAAAAAAAAAAAAAAAAAGAGAGAGAGATAACCCTCAGAGGCCAATTTCAGACTAAGTTGCAGGCATGTCCAGGAGCAACAATAAAGACACATGGTTGGAGGCCGTGAAGGGGTGGCTGAAAGGAGGAGGAGGAGGAGGAGGAGGAGGAGGAGGAGGAGGAGGAGGAGGAGGAGGAGGAGGAGGAGGTTTTAAGACAATGCCCTCCCTGAATTCACACACACACACACACACACACACACACACACACACACACACACACACACACACACGGGGCGTGCCTAAGAGTTGATGGTGTCTTGTGTTGTGGTCTTCACTACTGTGTGAAGCCTGATGAGAATTTTTATCAACAAGGTCTACAGATGAGGGGGTGGGGGTGGCAGGGGTGGGGGGGTAGTGGTAGCAGGTGTGGTGGTGGTGGTGGTGGTGGGTAGGGGTAGGTGTGGTGGTGGTGGTAGTAGGGTGGGTGTGGTGGTGGTGTCAGGAGCTAGTGTGGTGGTGGTGGTGTCAGGAGCTAGGTGTGGTGGTGGTGTCAGGAGCTAGGTGTGTTGGTAGTAGGGGCAGGTGTGGTGGTGGTGTCAGGAGCTAGGTGTGGTGGTAGTAGGGGCAGGTGTGGTGGTGGTGGTGGTAGTAGGGGGCAGGTGTGGTGGTGGTAGGGGCAGGTGTGGTGGTGGTGGTGGTGGTAGTAGTAGGGCAGGTGTGTGGTGGTGTTGCAGGAGCTAGGTGTGTGGTGGTGGTTGAGGCAGGGTTGGGTGTGGTGTGTGAGCTTGTGGTCGGTGGGCAGGGAAAGTGGCATGTGGTGAGGTGGGTTGTTCTGTCACCTGCCGAGTCGACCTCTGACCTCAAGTAAACCGGATTGTCCACAGTCATTACATTTGCTAAACTGGGTGTGTGTGTGTGTGTGTGTGTGTGTGTGTGTGTGTGTGTGTGTGTGTGTGTGTGTGTGTGTGACCTGGCCCCTGGCTCGGTTGTGGATGCTGATGAGGTGACTGCTGGGGGAAGGCGAGGTTTGCCTCTTGGTACTGTTGGGGGTGTGGTGCTGCTGTTGCTACTTACTGCTGCTGGGGGTGTGGTGCTGCTGTTGCTACTTACTGCTGCTGGGGGTGTGGTGCTGCCGTTACCACGCTGCTGGGGTGTGGGTGCCGCTGTTGCTACTTACTGCCGCTGGGTCTGTTATTTTCTGGGAATGTTACTGTTTTAGCGGGTTGTGGTTGCGGGGCGCTGATGACTGGTGTTACTACTGGTACTGCTAAGGCGTGTCTTCTGTTTTTAGTGCTTGTGTTACTGCTGATGTCTTGGGCTGTCTATATGTACCGTATAGTGTGTTCTGTGTTCTAGCTGGAGGTCAGGACGTCTCACCGTGGACGAGGGAGAGATTGGGGAGTGTGTTGGACGGGAGGGAGTGAAGGGGGGAATGGTGAAAGCGTCCCGGAGTGCCTGGCATACCTGGCACCCGTGTCAAAGGTCAACTTGTATCTTTGAAGTTGGCGAGTTGGTCCAATATACTGGCCGGAGACTAGGGGTCTCTCCCTCTCCTGTCTCCCTCCCTCCCACCCTCCCTCCCCCTCTCCGTCCCTCCCCTCCTTTTCTACCCTCCCTCCCTTCCCTCCCCTCCCCTCTCTCTCTTCTCTCCCTTCCTCTCTCATTTCTTTTCCTCTCCTCTCTTCAGTATTTCGTAGTGTTTGTGGAGAGAGAGAGAGAGAGAGAGAGAGAGAGAGAGAGAGAGAGAGAGAGAGAGAGATATCAGTCACACAGAAAGGTTGATAGTGGTGTTGGTAGTAGTTTCAGCAATTGTGGTAGTGTTAGTAGTTGTAGTAGTACTTTAATTAACTTTCGTGTTGTGGTCGTAGTTGGAGTTATATAATTAATATCTGTTGTGGTAGTTGTAATAATAGTAGTGGCTCTTCCTATGACGCCGATCACGCCATGGTGTGCAAGAAAGGGAGCTTCATATGCATGAGGCATGACGAAGTAAGGGATCTCACAGCAAATATGTTGAAGGAAATCTGCCGTGATGTCAGGGTAGAACCGACCCTCCTTCCATTGGACAGTGAGATTTTCCAACATAGGACTTCAAACACATCCAACGAAGCCCGTGTTGACGTCAGTGCTCGAGGATTCTGGACGCGGGGACAGCGAGCCTTCTTCGACATCAGGATTTTTTTATCCCATGGCCGCATGTCACCATAACTTAGCTCTCGATGCTGCACACAGGAGGAACGAGAACGACAAGATAAGGGCATACAGGGAGAGAATTCAGTACGTTGATCAGGGCAGCTTCACTCCTCTAGTGTTCACAACCTCTGGTGGGATGGGACCAAGTGCAAGGTGCTTCTACGCCAGACTCACGGAGCTGATCTCCGAACAGAAGCAGCAGCCCAGAAGTTATGTTACAGCCTGGATGAGATGTCGACTGTCCTCCCTCTCCTTCGGTCGGCTTTGCTCTGCCTCAGGGGAACGAGAGCTTCGGTCCCAAAGCCGACAACAGTTGCAGATATTGACTATGAGGATAGCTACTTATGCATTAGGATATTTAATATTAAGGTAATAAAATGGTGGCGAAGGAATGGCTATTGGGGGAGGCTGGAGGCCATTTTATAAAAAAAAATAGTTGTTGTAGTAGTATAGCAGAAGTAGTTTAATAGTAGTTTAGCTGTGGTTGTTGTTGGATTAATAGTAGTTGTGGTTGATACAGGAGTAATAGTAGTAATACTAGTAGTTAATGTGTTTGTAGTAGTAGTAGTCGATGTACTAGTAAGACTATTAGGGTTGCTTTAGTTATGGTAGGAATAGTTGTAGCTGAAATAGCATACTAGTACTCGTAGCCGTATTAGTAGTAGATAATTTAAAGGTGATAACTATTTATTCTAAGTAAAACTCGTCTCCTAAATAGCCCCCAGGTGACAATATAGAGCTATAATATATATGCAAATTACTTAGCTTTTTAAATCGATATTCGAGAAGCATTATTGACACCATTACATTAATTAGAATGATATATAAGAGTGTGTGTGTGTGTGTGTGTGTGTGTGTGTGTGTGTGTGTGTGTGTGTGCTTGGACGTGTTTTAACAAGTATCTTATCTGTATATTTACGGTATTTTCTTTTCTCTGTAATTTATCAAGGCGTAAAGGAAAGTAAATAAACACTTCCCGCTGTGGTGCGTTAGTGGTGGGCAGACGAGGACTTTCACTCACACGTGTTATTGGTGACATGAAACCCACAGGAAACAGGTTGTATGATCCTCTTCTCTCTGCAGGGTTAAAAGTGATGATGGTAAACCTTTGAAGTATTATATATATATACAGGTAATATATATATATATTATGCACAGATGAAAATACAGTTGATACCTAATTATACCTGTTGATATATATAGATAATTATTGGTGTGTGTGTGTGTGTGTGTGTGTGTGTGTGTGTGTGTGTGTGTGTGTGTGTGTGTGTGTGTGTGTGTGTGTGATATCTGGCCGCCGTCACGACATCAAAGTCAAAGCGAATTCATCTTTTATTTTGAATACCTGATTACCTGCGTGATCCTGCGACCTGATCTGCTGCCAACAGGAGAACAGTTTAATTAAAGCATTCTTGAAATTACGGTCATTTGTAATACGGTTGTGTGTCTGTGTCTGTCTGTGTATGTATGTTTGTGTGTATGTATGTGTGTGTGTGTGTGTGTGTTTGTATTCATATGTATTTATGTGTATTTGTGTGTGTACAAGATATTAGAGCTGGGCGCCTCGAACTGGTTAACTACATTACCGATAAGGGCAAATGGTTTCAGCCTTAACAAACAAGAATTTACAGATGCCATTGCTCTAAGGTACGGCTGGCCAGTAGATGGTTTGCCCTCCCAATGCGTGTGTGGCTATTCCTATGATGGTGATCACGCCATGGTTTGCAAGAAGGGGGGCTTCATATGCATGAGGCATGACGAGGTAAGGGATCTCACAGCAAATATGTTGAAGGAAATCTGCCGGGACGTCATGGTAGAACCGACCCTCCTTCCACTGGATGGCGAGATCTTCCAACACAGGACTTCAAACACATCTAACGAAGCCCGTGTGGACGTCAGTGCTCGAGGATTCTGGACGCGGGGACAGCGAGCTTTCTTCGACATCAGGATTTTTGATCCCATGGCCGTTTGTCACCGTAACCTAGCTCTCGATGCTGCGCATAGGAGGAACGAGAACGACAAGAGAAGGGCATATGGGGAGAGAATTCAAAATGTTGATCAAGGCAGCTTCACTCCTCTAGTGTTCACAACCTCTGGTGGGATGGGCCCAAGTGCAAGATGTTTCTACGCCAGACTCGCGGAGCTGATCTCCGAACAGAAGCAGCAGCCCAGAAGTTATGTCACAGCCTGGATGAGATGTCGACTGTCCTTCTCTCTCCTTCGGTCGGCTTTGCTCTGCCTCAGGGGAACGAGAGCTTCTGCCCCTACTCCGACAACTGCTGCAGATATCGACTATGAGGCTACAGTCACTGAATGCCGCATGGATCTGCGGCTCAACTAATTTAACACAGATAGGATAGTTTCTTATGTATTAGGATATTTAATATTAAGGTAAATAAATGGTGGCGAAGGTGTGGCTATTGGGGGAGGCTGGAGGCCATTTAAAAAAAAAAAAAAAAAAAAGTAGTAGTAGTAGTAGTAGTAGTAGTAGTAGTGGTGGTAGTAGTAAGTCAGTCAGTCAGTAAGCCACCGCGTGCAGCAGTAGTTGTCAGAAGCAACACCGCAGCAGGAACAGCATCATCAGGTGCAGCAAGAGGAACAGCATCATCAGGTGCAGCAAGAGGAACAGCATCATCAGGTGCAGCAAGAGGAACAGCATCATCAGGTGCAGCAAGAGGAACAGCATCATCAGGTGCAGCAAGAGGAACAGCATCATCAGGTGCAGCAAGAGGAACAGCATCATCAGGTGCAGCAAGAGGAACAGCATCATCAGGTGCAGCAAGAGGAACAGCATCATCAGGTGCAGCAAGAGGAACAGCATCATCAGGTGCAGCAAGAGGAACAGCATCATCAGGTGCAGCAAGAGGAACAGCATCATCAGGTGCAGCAAGAGGAACAGCATCAACAGCAGCAGGAGCGCAATTATTAACAGCCGTGAATGAGAGGGAAAACAGCACCAACAATAGACACGCAATCAGCATCGTCAACTGTTTCAATTCCAAGAGCAGCAGTAACAGCAGCGGCCACAGCGGGAGGGAGGGAGCTAGGGAGTGATGTGGAGTCATTGAAGGAGGAGCAGGAGGGCAGGTTCACTTCTCCGTTGGTGTATCACTCCCGTAAATAGTATAGTGTAGACCCTATCTGCTCCCGCACCTGCACGCCCACACACGCTCGCCGGTCTCTTTATCCGCACGCCCACGATCACACACGCCCGCTGGTCTCTTCACCTGCACGCCCACCCATGGTCGTTGTGGTGCTGGAGGGGAGGTTAGCAGTGTAAAGCCTTAATGTGGGGGCCACCTCACCTTCAGAGACCACCGCGAGGTCCTCATGATGATGATGATGATAAAATAAAAATAATGACAATAATAATAGTAGAAATGGTGATAATAAATAATAATAATGATGGAATGTGTTGATAAATAATAATGATGTGAGATAATGATAATAATAGTAAAGATAATAATAGTCTGCTGGGTGAAAATTGGACGGGAATTTGAAATAAAAACAATTTATTGAGCTAAAATAATACAAGCATAACAACAACCACCACCATCACAACAGTATAGGCACGTGCTGAGTTGTAAATAGTGCAGTAGTTCACTCGAAGTGTTGTAAGTATTGATATATGGTAATGTACACTTGGAAGGTGTCGTAAGTGTGTTATAACGTACTGGTGGAAAGTGTCGTCAGTGTAACGAGAGAATATAGTCGAGTAGTGTTAACATCCGTGACACCCAAAACTTTTGAACGTGTCTCAGCCAATTTAAGACACCTGGACGAGAGAGGTTGGCACAAAGTAATTATTATTATTATTATTATTATTATTATTATTATTATTATTCAGTCAGGATGGGGGGAGTAAAAATATAAGAATGGAGGAAACTGCAGCGTGCCTATTGGCCCATATTGAGCAGTCCCGTTTACACCCAACCCCTATCTCTCATATATCCATCCAACCTAACCCAGGTATACCCCTCCTTCCGGGTCACCTGAAGATAAGGTAGACCATCTCATTTTTCCTCATGATTAACACACCCTAACGCTACCTTGCGGGGGGGGGGTGTTAGGTTAGCGTTAGGGTAGGTTAGCGTTAGGGTAGGTTAGCGTTAGGGTAGGTAGCGTTAGGGTAGGTTAGCGTTAGGGTAGGTCAGCGTTAGGGTAGGTTAACGTTAGGGTAGGTTAACGTTAGGGGTGGTTAGCGTAGGTTAGCGTTAGGTAGGTTAGGGTAGGTTCGCGTTAGGGCAGGTTAGCGTTAGGGTAGGTTAGCGTTAGTAGGTAGGTAGTTAGCGTTAGGGTAGGTTAGCGTTAGGGTAGGTTCGCGTTAGGGTAGGTTCGCGTTAGGGTAGGTTAGCGTTAGGGTAGGTTAGCGTTAGGGTAGGCTAGCGTTAGGGTAGGTTAGCTTTAGGGTAGGCTAGCGTTAGGGTAGGCTAGCGTTAGGGTAGGTTCGCGTTAGGGTAGGCTAGCGTTAGGGTAGGCTAGCTTTAGGTTAGGCTAGCGTTAGGGTAGGTTAGATTAGATTAGGATAGGTTAAGTACGGTTAGGTTTGGTTAGTGTTAGGTTAGGGTTGGATAGCGTTAGGGTAGGTTTGGTTTGATTAGCGTTATGTTAGGTTAAGTTAGTGTTTAGGTAGCTAGTTAATCTTCAGGTGAAATAAGCCAGGTGGGAGGGGGACTAATGATAAGATGATCCCTCCTCGTGTCCTGTGGAGGTTTGCGTCGCCACTGTGTATTAGTGACCTTGTTCGACGTCACGGTGGTTGGCTCCCCCCCACGTCACTGATCACTGTTGTGCGTCACGGTCAGGTTTTTGTGTTACGACGGTTACTGACAGGATCTTGTTGTGTGACGCTGTGCAGTTGTGCGTCACTTAACCCAGTTGTGTGTTACCGTTATTAATGCAGCTATGCTCGGGCTGGGTAAAACTATGGGCAAGTTTCTTTACTCCATTTGCCTCTGTCTACCCAGCAGTAATTGGGAACCTGGATGTTAATCGATTTGCTGATCGTGTGCCGGGGTAATGGTTAGCCAGTGCAGTTGGCGAGTTGTCCGGTCTTCTCGGACTATTCCTTGACACTGTGTCATGCAGCTCGTTAACTGGGTGTGGTTGTTGTGTTGGCGACAGCTTCTGCACCGTAAACAAATTCACGACTAGGAGGCCCTTGGGCCGGCCATCCTCGATTTCGAGGGGCTTCTTTTATTATTATTTATGCAGCTATTCATCAGTCACACACCAGTTATGTAACGCTGTGTCCATTATTCACCGCGCCACGTAGCTCACCTGTGTGTCATGACGGCCACTTATCTCACCTGTGTGTCATGACGGCCACGTATCTCACCTGTGTGTCATAATGGCCACATATGTCACCTGCTTGTCATGATGGCCACGTATGTCACCTGTGTGTCATTATGACCACGTATCTGTCACCTGTGTGTCATGGTGGCCAATATGCATCACCTGGGTGTCATGATGGCCACACATCTGTCACCTGTGTATCATGATGACTGCGTGTGCGTCATCTGTTTGTCAGGATGGCCACGTATGCGTCACAGTCCAGCTTTGCGTTACTTGTTCAGCTTTATTTCGGGTACGTGTGTTCCGGCGTGCGTCACGTGACGTTGTGCAGGGGTTAGGACACACACACAGGTAGGATTGGCGTGCAACGTGGCTGTTTGACGCCGGCACCGGGTACCCTACTCCGCCATAGGCAACACGCCCGTAACATCTCTGGCCGGAGAGTCGAGGACGGTTTAGATATCCCTCATTCCCCCGTCCATTATTGGGGAAGGGGAGTAGGGGGGGTGGGAAGTGAGGGCGCAGGCCAGTGTAACCCTCTCTGGGGGTAGCTGTACGGGGGATAATTGTCGGGCAGGTGTGTTTGTGGGGAGGCAGGTAAAGGTGGCGGCGCCCCTCGGCAGCCTTGAGGAGAAGGTCACTTTCCCATGTCTCTCTCTCACCCCCTCACACTGCTGGCTGCTGCCTCACTAAAATGACTTGTTTTTTCCTTCATTGCTCCCGTTTGAGAAGTTTTGGTGGTGGTGGTGATGAAGATTGTGATGATTGGTGGTGATGAAGATTGTGATGATTGGTGGTGGTGGTGATGAAGATTGTGACGATTGGTGGTGATGGTGATGAAGATTGTGATGATTGGTGGTGGTGGTGATGAAGATTGTGATGATTGGTGGTGATGGTGATGAAGATTTTGATGATTGGTGATGGTGATGAAGATTGTGATGATTGGTGGTGATGGTGATGAAGATTGTGATGATTGGTGGTGATGGAGAGTGACGGTTAGTGATGGTGAAGATTGTGATGGTTGGTGGTGGTAATGAGGATGGTGGGGTAGTGGTGATGGTGGTAGTGATGAGGGGGGATGGGTTGGTGGTTAGTCAGAATTATGGTGGTCAAGGTTGATGATTAGGGGGGTGGTAGTTGTTGATGAGGGATGGTGGTTGTGAGGGGTAGTGGAGATACAATAAGTGATAGATGGTGGTTGATGCTTGGTGTTGGTAGTAGTGGTGATGAAGAGGGGGATGGGTGATGTGTGGTGTTGATAGTGGTGAGGGGCAGTGGTGGTGGTGGTGGTGGTAGTTACGTTGAGGGGTAGTGGTGGTGGTAGTTATGTTGAAGAAGATGAGGAAGTTATGGTTGTAAGGGATGGTTGTAATGTCGCACCGTATACAACAAAAAGATTTAAGTTACCTAAAGCATTGTTGTTGTTATTGTATGGACTCACTGTAAAACTAGACCCTGGAGTGGACAATTTAATTATATATATACCACTCAACAGGAGAACGTACCGTGAATTTGATCAAGATGACGTGTAGAAATTCCAAGAAATATTATGTTGATGTAAAAAAACAACTTGATCATTCATTACGTGTTTCCCTGTCTTAAAACCTGCTTGGTGAGAGAGAGAGAGAGAGAGAGAGAGAGAGAGAGTATATATATACATATGTACATACTATTATGTATACCCAAAGATTTGATTCCGAACACACGGCCCTTGAGACACCACTGACCCCCAGAACGACCGCCCAGGTAAACTACACAGGTCCCAGGCACAGTGTGGTTGGTTGATACCTAACGTAAACACGGATCAAGTTCCCGATGGTGGTATATTTTTAAGGGAGTGACAGGAGAACCGATCTGGGTAAGGACAAGGCTGGAGGGGTAGAGACGTGTTCTTCGGGGGATGTGGTCAGTGTTTTTCTCTTCTCTTTCAGGATTTTTTTTTGGGGGGGGGGAGTTTGATGTGTAATGCTAATGGAATTTGGACGTTGTTTTGGTAGGGAGGAGGAGGAGGAGGGGGTAGGTGGTGAAGCTCTTCCTCACCCCACCTCCAACCTTCATTCATATATACATTTGTAGATAGCACCTCCTCCTCCACCACCTCCTATTCCTCCACCACCTCCATCTCCTCCTCCACCTCCTCCTCAAACCTGTTTAATTACTAGTTCTCGATTAATTGATAAACAGACTTATGAATGGAGACATGAAAGTGTTGGGTGGATGATACGTGTGTGTGTGTGTGTGTGTGTGTGTGTGTGTGTGTGTGTGTGTGTGTGTGTGTGTGTGTGTGTGTGTGTGTGTGTGTGAATAATAATAATAATAATTGACGGTTTTATTGAAAAAGTTCTGCAGCCCGAAGGCTGAAAATATACATTGGACATAAATGACGTATTACATACATTGGTGGTTTAACAAAAGCCTTCGTTAGAGAAAGGTAAAGGAACATACAGTGAACATACAGATTAATGTAGGTGTTGAACAGCAAAAACGTAGTGTAGTAACTCCCTCCCAGATGGTGTTAGGAGGGACCTCACGTGGTGTAGTAGTTCCCTCACAGATGGTGTTATGAGGGGCCTCACGTGGTGTAGTAATTCCCTCACAGATGGTGTTATGAGGGGCCTCACGTGGTGTAATAATTCCCTCACAGATGGTGTTATGAGGGGCCTCACGTGGTGTAGTAATTCCCTCA